CTCTCCACTCTGTGTTTGTCCAGATCTTTTTTAAGCACATCTATCTCAGTTTTGCAGCGGGAAACTTGTGACACTGTCACGACGTGATCCCGTCTTAATGCAAAGTATGATTCTTTCAGCAACATTGCCATTTTAGCCAGCTTTTCATAGCCTGACATTGTAATTTCTGTAGAGGTCACACTCTCTGCAACCTCCATCAGATTGTCCAATAACTCTTTTGGGTTCATGCTCTCCGCCTGTTTGCCATATGGATGTAAGGATCCTGTCAGCAGCTTCAACGCTTTCTGTAAACAGTCCTTCATCTCATAAGGATCAAAATCTTTTTCTATCACACCTGTCATGGTCATTCACTGTGTAGCACTTTATCTGGTTAAAAGAGTTGCCAGCTTCAGATATTTTACAGGTAAATATTTGTATTCAAGTGTCATTGAGTTTCACACTATTTTAAGCTCTGGATTTACACAAAAGTACTGTTATAAGTCAACTTATTCAAATGTGGGCACCTGTCATAGGTTTTACCCCAATTCATGAATATTCAAGTAAATGCTTCTCTGCAGTGTTACTTTTTATGTGCTTATTTTTTAACAGATACTAGATTACCAAGCCTCTCAGTGTTTTTTACTCTAAAGCACTGAATTTTTATAAACCTGCTATTTTTCTAAAAAGTCTCACAGCAACATCAGTTTAAAAACGTTTTTTAAACCGTTCTATTCCAGAAATTCGCTATTTTAACAGTTACTCATTGAACCAGGTGGTGAAAAGAGAAAAATATTATGAGGAATTATCAGTCTTTCTAAACTGTTATACTCCTCTTCTCCTGCCAATATCTACTATTTAAAAATTAAATAGGAGAATATAATGTTTTAGGTGGTAAAATAAAATCAGAAAAGTCTCTTTTTTCTGATATATTTACTCTTATTTAATGATCTAGCAATTAAACGTGTATTACCTATTCAGCAAATGAGTAAACTTTATCAACTCTGTGAATATCTGTATCTGTATCTTTTAAAAAGTTTCTAATTTTTTATTTTGCACCTCTGTCATGAGGAATTACCAGTGAATAAAAAGTTTTTGGTAAATGCCTGCTGCATAAATACCTTAATCACTTTTTAAATGCAAGATAACATTGATAATTCAACTTGAGGAACGTTTATTAACTCAAAAATGCCCGAAGCATTAGGATAAACACGTATAATTTCACCAAAAATAACCTAAAACGAAGTGAAACTGTGATATCAAGTTTCCACAGGAGGGGGCAGTGTTAGCTTTCTACCAGCAGGAGCCTATGACGACTTCCTGTGGACGTTCTGTTGACATCCTGTCGTTAGCCGCTTAGCTTAAAATTAGCTTCGGCTAAACTCGGTTAAAATCAACATTTCTGAACGGATTTCAAGCTAAAACGTGGCGTTGTTTCAACAAGCACAACTTCTTTGCATGAACATGAGTTTTTGGGGACTTGTGGCAGCTGAATTTAGTGAATTTAAGCACAGAAAAGGCTTCGGTTGCAACCGAGCTCATTTCCGGGTCACGTGACTGAACCTACCAATCATAACAGCGCGGGGGTGGGCTTTACATCGCTGACATCAGAGGAAGTGAAGACAGACACGTCTCTCAGCCAATCAAAGCGTTACACACGGCCGTTTTCAACCAATCACAGATCGCCATTTCAGCTATCTTTGTTAGCATTAGCCTGAACTAGTCCGTCAACTTTTCGTCTTTTAAACTGTCAAAATGCACTATTTTCTGTTAGAAATGTAACGAATAAGCTCTCAAAGCTTCACTGAGACTTCGCCCAGTCCTTAAAACGTTTCTCCATCCATTTAAACAACTCGTTCGAAATTATCAGAACCGAGGTGTGTCAGAACCGGGTCTGCAGCAGATTAAACGTTTTCCACAGCTCATCAACTTTGTCACACACCACAGACGTACAATTTCAGCTTTCAAAAACTCATTGACTCACAAGTTCAGCTTTCAAAACATCACTAGCTGCAAGCATGCTGTATTTTCTCCAAGCATCGCAGCTCAACACGCTGCGTTCACACAGCTACAATCTGCACGTTTTTCACAGCAGAATCTGCACTTTTTTCTTCATGCCAAC